ATGGAAGTAAAGCTCAAAGAGTTGAGGACAGATCCTCGGGTCACAATGTTCCTTCTTCCTTTACCGAAGAGCGCTGCAAAGGAATCTGAGAAGGCGAGTTCATCTACGCCTGGTACCAAGTCGACTCCAAGTGCACCAGCGGCCCCAATTAAACCGTTGAAGAAAGCAAAGCCTTCAGCAAAAGCAAAGTCACTTTGTCCACAAGAGCTGAAAGGGTTTCCTCAACGTGACCCTTCTGGCAATGCAATCTGCTGGGCATACAACTTGAAGACAGGTTGTAAAAATGAAGTTACAAATGGGCGTTGCAAAAAGGGCGTTCATTGTTGCATGAAGTACCACAAGAATAACCATAGCCTTGTCACCTGCAGGGTGAACTGACTATCGGAGGCATCACCGAAGACTATCGACGAAGCTCTCTTGAAAAGAAAGCTTGCAGAAGCTAAGTTGGAACACTCCCAAGGAGATGACAGCAACAACAAGCAAGTGAACCTTACTGACAAATCGGTCACCAAGGAGTTCTTGCAAGAACGTGCAACAAGCATGGCTAGGGAGGCAAACAAAGTACCTCCGGTTGAAAACTCTGAAAACAGACCATTTCAACAGCGTTTCACAGGTATGTCAGTTTCGGATCTTTTATTTGTAGAGATCTTTGCAGGGACAGCAAGACTTTCAAAGCATGCGAGGGAAGCGGGAATGAGAGTGCTTCCAGTTGATAAGACTACAGCAAGGTCTTCCCAGATCTACATCGCTCAGTATGACATCACAGACCAGCAACAGTTTGAAAGCTTGATGCAAGTGTTGGCATCCGAAGCAGACCGTATAGCTGCCGTGCATTTAGCACCGGCCTGTGGCACGGCTTCCAAGGCGCGTGAAAAGAAACTGCTCAGCTGGGTGCGCAAAGGGTTCAAAGTTCCAGTGATTTGAGTGGTTTGGATAAAATCCGCACTGAACTGGCCAATCAGGTTTACGAGAAAACTGCAGCCATCATGAAGTTTTGCATAGAAGCTGATATTTTGTGCTCGCTGGAGAATCCGGAAAATTCCCTTTTTTGGATATACCCGGATATTCTGGAAATCATGGAAACATGCGTTGTCACAAGCATCACTTTCTCAAACTGCATGCACGGAGGTAAACGTAACAAACTGACGAAAGTGGTCGTCGAAAGATGTTTTCAGTGACTTGGCAGTTGTTTGCGATCAAATGCATAGTCATGCACAATGGAATCCAATTCGGCAGGGCCAGAGCTTGATTTTTCCAACAGCGGAGGAAGCAGCGTATCCACACCTGTTATGTAAAAGAGTTATTGCTTTGGTTTTGGAATACGTTAAAGCTCAGGGTGCAGTGCAACCTGAAACTTTGACTGAGCAGCTGCCCAATGCAGAGATTTCATCTCACAGATGGATTTTGGATATGCTCCCGAAAGGGAAAAAACTGCGTCCACTGGTTAGCGAGTTTCAGGCTTATAGCAATTTTCTTGTTTACCCCTCAAAGGAGCCTGAAGAGACTCAGTTTTTCAAGCAACAGCTCAAAGGAGCGCGAGTGGTTCAACGACAGTTACAATGGGGGAAAATGCGAGTCGATGAACAGGCAGGTTTACAACTTTTTTGGTGGTGTGACGAGACCACAGGAAAGGAATATCAACTTGCCGGCAAGGAGGCAGTCTTGACAGGAGCTGACTTTGGAGAACGGCTGCATGTGGAACTTTGCACGGTTGGTGTGCCAAGGGATCCATGGGATTTTGTGGCTAGGGCAGTGGAAACAGGACATCCTAAATCTTTGGGTATCCATTTAAGTGCAAACGTTATGGATATGCTAAGACAAAACTTCTCAGAGGAGCCATACAAACTGGTGAAGGAAAGAGCCAAATTCTTGCAAAAGTGGACGCAGCGTTGCAAAGAGCTGGATGTACAAGAACGACGGTTACATGAGAATTTGGAAGGACACCTCAAGGATGTGTTAGTGGGTAAAAGACTCTTGTTGTTCAAAGAAATCCTGGAGGAGTTGAATTACCCTGACAAGACCTTGGTGGATGAAATTTGCGCTGGTTTTACATTGTCAGGGTGGCAAGCTCGTTCTAATGTTTTTCCTTCATCCCTCAAGAGACCTGCGCAGAATTTGGAGTCTGCGTGCAAAGTGGCCAAGGGTTTGAATCGTAATATATGCAAACAGGTTGCCTCGAGTTCTGACGAGGCCTTGTCGGCCGAAGTTTGGGAGCTGACACAAGAGGAATTGGACAAAGGCTGGGTTTGGATTGATGACAATTGCAAAGTTGAAGACCATTTGTTGGCAAAACGTTTTGGCCTTCGACAGGGGGAAAAAACGAGACTAATAGATAACTGCTCTATTGGTGGCTTTAACAGCACTTGTGGCGCCAACGAGAAACTCAAGATTCATGCCATTGATGAGATGGCGGCTTACATTGCGTGGTGCTTGACAAACCTGGGTGACAAATCTATGGAATCAGTTTTGGGAAAGACGTATGATCTCAAGAATGCATACAAGCAATATGGGATTGCAGCCAGTGACAGGTCCTTACTCAGAATGGCCGTGTGGGATCCAGTTTCTTCACGAGTGCGTTTTCTGGGCCTCAATGCGCTACCATTTGGAGCCATCGGCTCAGTGGGATCATTCCTACGGATAGCAATGGCTACCTGGTTTATTGGGGTAGTTGGACTACGTCTATGCTGGACTAGCTTTTTTGACGATTTTACACTGCTCTCAAAGAAGGTTTGTGCGGAAAGTGCGGCAATAGCTGCTGAAGGCTTGTTTTCTCTATTGGGCATTGACTATGCTAAAGAAGGGAAGAAGGCAGTGCCTTGGGCCACGAAGGTCAAAGCTTTGGGGGTGGTCATAGATCTATCTCCGGAGGGCTCAGCAGATGATGCGACTGGACGTTTTGTGACAATTGGCCATGCAGCTATCAGGGTCGAAGAGCTTCAGGTTACTTTAGGTGCCATACTTGAGAAAAAAGTGATGTCAAAGAAAGAAGCAGAGCGATTACGTGGCAGGCTGCCATGGTTCGAAAGCTTCGCCAGTGGCCGGGTGGCGCAGCAAGCGCTATTGGCCCTTAGCAAGTTGACAGCCACGGGAAGGCAATCAGAAAGACTCTCTGACCAGGAACTTGCGGCGATCAGAATCTTGAAGGAACGTGTGATAATGGCACCTCCTACAAAGATTAGGACTACTAGCTTGGACACTTGGTATGTTTTCTCAGATGGTGCGTGTGAAGGGGAGACTTCGAAAGAAGGTTCCATTGGAGCTGTCTTAATTAGTCCTTGTGGGATAGCTTGTGAATTCTTTGCAGAAATCGTTCCAAAAGAATGGATGGAAGCGTTTCTATCTTTGTCTCAACACCCCATCTTTGAGCTTGAGTTGCTGCCGGTATGGATCTCGCTTGTTGAGTGGGAAGGATACCTTAGCAACACTCAGTGTGTCTTTTACTTGGACAACGAGGCGGCGAAGGGAGCCCTAGTCAGAGGGGCGACGGAAGGTGGATCAGGAGCGAAGCTGGTCCATGCTTTCGTTGTGGCTGAGATGCTGTGTCAGGTTAAGGTATGGTTCTCCAGAGTGCCAACTAGCAGCAACATAGCTGATGGCCCTAGCCGCATGTCCTTTGATGAGCTTGTGATTGTGAGAAGACATCAAATCAACTGGGAACACCTTTGGAAAAAGTTGGAGACCGACGGATCAGAGACTTAGGGGTTTCGAAAACGGGATCCGGAATTTGTCCCAACTTGCTGTCAAAAAAGGTGTGCGTTGATTGAGCTTCACATTTTTGACATGTTCACCTGATGTCGTTTTGCATTATTTCGGAAAAGCGATGTTTTACGATGGCGATGTTTTAATTTTTGCGAGACACGATTTGGCGACTGAGTTTTATTTTCGGAGGTTTGAAGCGAATAGCGTTTTTCGGCGGGAAATTCCAACCCAAATTTTGTGCGAAGAGAAACTGCCGGTTTCCTTAAGAGTAAATAAGGGTTCGCTCATTGCAAAGCAATGATGCTCCCTTTATTTGCACAAAAGGAAAAAAATTGTCTTGGACAAAATTAGGCAGTTTCCCCCTTTTTCCCTATCTGGGAATGTTGACTTCTTCACTTCAAAACCTCTTGGAAAACTCTTAATGCAAATCAGTGTCTCAAACTCTGTTAGTTATTTTTTCAAGTTTCTTGGATCCTGGAAGAAATTTGATCTGTGATTTGGTAAGAATTTTAATGCACAAATTGGTTGTGTAACTTATTTGAAGATGTTTGTAAAACAAATAAATCTTCTGATATCACATATATATTTAGAAAACATGTGAATCCTTTTTCGACCGTGCTCGCCTCAAGAAAGGGAGGGTGAGGAGGGAGCCTCTTGCACTTTTAGGTGCGAGTTGTACCCACCCAAAACTTCGTTTTTTCCCCCCCTTGTGGTAGGCAATGTTTACGCAGTGGACACCTTGTGAGGACTGCGTTTACTTAGCATGGCCTACCCCTAAGCCGTTTTTCGAAAACGGGGGATCTGGAATTTGTCCCAACTTGCTGTCAAAAAAGGTGTGCGTTGATTGAGCTTCACATTTCTGACATGTTCACCTGATGTCGTTTTGCATTATTTCGGAAAAGCGATGTTTTACGATGGCGATGTTTTAATTTTTGCGAGACACGATTTGGCGACTGAGTTTTATTTTCGGAGGTTTGAAGCGAATTGCGTTTTTCGGCGGGAAATTCCAACCCAAATTTTGTGCGAAGAGAAACTGCCGGTTTCCTTAAGAGTAAATAAAAAAAATATACAATTTCATTAAATACCAGTTAATTTTTGTCTCTTAAATTATTCAAAAAAGGTAAAATATGTATGATTTTTTGGATTTCTTGTATTTTTTTCATAGATAAAGACATTTTTTGAATTTGTATGCAATACGTGATATTTCTTTCTGTTTTAGTGATTGCACAGACATTTGTGAAAATTTTTATTCGTGATTTGTGGTTGTTCAAGCTTCAGCACGGATTGCAACTTCTCAGAGGATGGCTCACGGAGGTCCATCAAATTGGCATGAATTCTTTTCATGGCCGGCGCAGACTCTGCAGAGGTTGCGCCAGATGATAGCAGTTCAACGGGTACCAGACATGGTGTTCACCTCAACCTTCTCTGGTTTAGGTACAGCTGAGATGGCAGCAACAATGGCTCATCGGGAGATGACAAGCTTCTTCCGACCCTCATCTGGGACCCACAACTCTGCATGTGATTCAGAGGTGAGCTGCCAGTCCATTTTGTGCAAGATGGATTGTTGCCATGGTTTTCGTGATGTGAAGGAGTGTTTTGATAGCACAGTGATGCAGCTATTGACGGAATATGTGCATGAGCGCCATGAAGAGGTTCAGTAAATCACAGACAAGGTTTCTGGGAAAGCACGAATCCTTTCTGCCGGAAAGGAAGTGTGCAGATTTGCAGCGGATCTATTGAGCAGCCATCCGCCCCAAGAGACTGCATATTGTGCGAAGTGCAACAAAATGTGCAAAAGATTTCCATGCAAGAAGACGTTGGATAGTTATTCCATTTGGGTTGAAGGTGGTTCTGGCAGCCCTTGCTACCCATGGACTCCAGCTGCCTATGGAAGTCAGTTGAGGTGGCTGCACCCGGAAGTCAGTCCTGTTTACTTTGCGTGGCTCTTCAGCTTACTCAATGCCGAGCCCAGTCCAGATGCAATTCTGCATGAGAATGTTTCAGGCTTTGATTGGGAGTCAATGAAAGAGCTTGTTGGTAGCAAGTATATCCTGGAGACAATTGTTATTTTTCCAGAAAATTGCGGGCTATCGGTAGCCCGACCACGCCGCTTTACAGCTTCTTGGACAAGACAGGAGAACTTGCCTACCATGAACTACCATGTATTTAAGATTTGATTGTTTGGTAGGCCAAAAAAGGATGTATATTTGGACCTTTAATAAAGGGCCTAAATACACACCTGTTTCTTAGGATTATCATGGTTTTGGGGATACGATGGAACCACAATTTTGTAGCCAGAGGTTTCCAAATAGCAGGCTAGGATAGGCATTCCATAATACATCTCCACGAACCTAACGTATTTCATTTTAATTTCATGGTGCATTGTCCATGTCGTAGACAATTGAAGATGTGAACGCTTTTTGCCCAAGGTGATGCTGCTTAAACACCATCAGAAGATGATGCCTTTCGATCGTGATTTGTGGAGTGCGGCTTGCTTTGCTTCAGTTCAATGCGATGCATCTGTTTTCCTGAATGCCGATGAAGAAGTGTTGCGGAAGGAAAAAGAACGATTGTCTGTCAAGAAGTTTTTGCCTGCTCAGGATGCTCACCGCTGGTCTTGGAATACTTTGCTCACCGGACGAGAGAATAGGCTCCAGGATCGAAGAAACCAGGTTAGGCAGATGTCTAGTCATTTGAGACCCAGGATTTGGTCCAGCCGAGATTGTCACTTGAGCTCCGCAGTCCAACTTTGATGACAAGCACAAAGCTTTTTGTTGATTACTTGGACAGCCCGTATGATGCCCGACCAGTCCATGCTTTGGAGCTCTTGGCAATGCAAGCATTGCCTCTCTTTCTGCCACCTCCCAATGACTGGTATCAAAAGATCATTTTGAATTCTGGCCTTGCGGATCGTTCTTTGCGAAAGATGGCCGGCAATGGAATGAACCTGTGGGTAGTTGGCCAATGTTTGATTTTGATTTTGGGAACTGTTGCTTGGGAACCCAAGCGTCCAAATTTGAAACGAAAGCTTGCCATGCTGATGCATGATGCAGAGCAGTCCGGCAAGGACAATCCCTGCAGTGACTTTGATGTAGAACCAGAAGCTGGTCAGATTTGAAATGCGTTTCAGTAAGACCTTCTTTGTTGACGCTTGCAAACAATCAGTTCAAGCCTTTAATTAACATGTGGATGATTTGGTTGATTTCTCAGCCACAAGAAAAAAGTGCACAATGCGAATCTGTATGAGCAATGGTGATTTGATTCCTCCCAGTGTCATGTATGTGTTGGACATGGCTCCCCTCATTCTCCTCTGTTTCATCCCTGATTCTTTCCTGATTCCTGATTTGCAGTCAACGTTTTCACCTTGTTGCAAATTGCAGCTTTTTCCTCGAGACCCAGACACACGCAGACTTTTTTTTGCATGTGCTCCCTTGCAGACAGCTTGGACCGAAGCAGTTTGGAGACGAGTGAAGATGCGTTTGCTGAGAATCTCGAGACTCAGGACAGCCAAGAAGCGCCAGATACCATGGATCAGAAAGCAGAAGGTTTCCCAGAGGAGGTGGCAAATCTTGATTCTGACAAAGATCAGGCCAAGCACCCCACTGACGAGTGTCTCCAAAAATTTTGACAAAAGACTTGTCAGAAGGGGGACTAGTTAGAGCTTCGGTTTTGGGTAGATGCCATGGTTGTCCATCTCGTAGTGTCACCTGAGAAACGTGTTGTTGCAGACAGTTTGGAAACAACAGTTGAGCATGGTGTGCAAAACTTCAGTGAACCTGATCCTTTGCAGAGTTGGGACATTGTTGCACGACCAAATTTGGACAATGCAGGACCCAGTGACCCAAGTTCAATGACCCGTGATTTTTTGGAGACTGACGCCAATCTGGACGGACTGTTTGGAAATGACTTGGCCGAAGAGTTCATGAATCTTAGTGCATGTGGTGACAGCGTCTCAGCAGAACCTTCTTTGGGAAGATCGTCGGAGTTTGGGCCTGAAAATTTACCCATAGCTTTTGGTGATGCAGTTGAAACAGAGACGGACTCAAGGGTTTTTGACACTTGCACCGCAGTGGAAGTTGCTTCAAGATCTATCCCTGCACAGACCTTGGAACCAATTTGGGAGCAAGGAATTTGGGGCGTTATTTTTGGAGACAAACAGTTGCTTGATGTTTACAAACCTTTTGGAGAAGATTTGAAGAGGCCGATAGATACTTCCATTGCACAAAGCAATGGTGGGGACGATCAACCTCCAACTACAAGAGTCAGAACTGTTTTGCAGTCAGGCCTGTCTTATCATGATGTGGTTCAGGACAAGCCGGATGTTCCCTGGCAGGAGCAACGAGACGCAGACCTTCAGAGCTCAGTGAAATTTTGGGTTGCACTTGTCAACAGATGGGAGTCAAGTTGCAGTCTGGTTGCAAGCATGATGGAGCTTGCAATCACCAGCAGGATCTTCACGATGTTTGCTCACTTGTTTGCTGGTAGGTCTCCTGTCACTATACGCAAACGAGGGTACAGCATGATGCGATTGTGTGATTACCTTGACACCCTACAGTTGCAATTCCCATGTGAAGAAGCTGTCTTTTACAATTTCCTTTGCAATGAGCAGTTGTCCAATGCACCACAGTCGAGGTTGAAGGGTTACATGCAGGCTGTCAACTTTGTGCAACATGTCATGTCAGTCCATGAAGCTAGCCCTTTGACCGTCAGTGCTAGGTGCAAGGGGGCTTGCCTGGGAGAATATCTTAAAGAGCGAGTCCAAGCATCTCCATTGAAAGTGGCCGAGCTCAGGCGCATTCATGACCTTTTGTATTCACATGACGACTTGTGGGTACGCCTTTTCTGTGGTGCATTGCTTTTTGCAGCCTATTGCAGGGCACGGTGGGGAGACCTCATGAGATCAGAGAGTGTCATAGTTGATCGTGACCACAGTGGTCAACTGCAATACCTGGAAGCTAGAACAGGAAGACACAAGACCATGAAGGCACAGCTTCATCGTCACCAGTTCTTGCCTATGGTTGCACCGTGCCACGGGATAGATGGAAAGGATTGGGGATCAGTCTGGATCCACGTGAGAGATGAAATGAAGTTGCAATGGCCTCCAGATGGTCTTGTTATGCCAGCTCCTGGACTTCAGGGACAGGTTACAGGGAGACCATTGGAGACCCAGGAGTGTGCTGCCTGGTTGCGCAAGATCGTAGGGAGCCAAGAGGACATTTCAGTTAGAAGGGTTTCAAGTCATTCACTCAAATCGACCTTTCTTTCATTTGCTGCAAAGCGTGGTATTGGGATTCCAGAACGGCTTCAACTTGGTTATCACACTAGCAATTTCCAGATGGGTATGGTCTACAGCAGAGACGGTGCTGCAGCGAGCCTGTTGGTGTTGGAGAAACTCATCAAAGACATTGACAATGGTGTTTTCGATCCCGATGAAACCAGAAGTGGTAGGATCAAGTCAGTTGAATCCATTCCTGAACCTGCAGGTGAGAAGAAAGTGATCGACATCAAGGATGAACCTGAGGTCCTGGAAATGTCGAGCTCTGAGAGTGATCCTGACTCCAGTTCAACTTCAAATGAAGAAGAGAGACCAGCAGTGATCAAACACCAGCCTGTTTTCCAACCCACATCGGCACCTGAAGGGTTTGTGATGTGGGGCAACATAGCAAATTGAAAACACTCCACCTTATGGCAGTGGAGAACAGCAGGGTTTTTGCATGTGGTAGATGCGCCGGGGCCTTACACCAGCGTCTGGATGTGGCACCAGAATTTGACACTCCACTTTGCACCCTTTGTTTCAATAGGTCCAGAGATTGAACTTTGGTTTTCGAGTTCAACATTTTCAATGGTTGAAGGAAACTGGCAGGTGACCACGTCGTGCACTCATGTCTGATTGTTTTGTTTCATGCAAACGGCCTGGACCCTATTCAACTGTGAGTCAGTCAAAGACACTCGTGTGTTGACTCTTGTTTTCACCAAGCGGCATCAGCTGACAGCTCAACAGGAGCTATGGGTCAGAGCGCTCAGACGTTTGTGATGAAATTTAATTTTCAAACATGTTGCATTCTTCAATTTTTGTTTGGAGACCAGAGATGTGCAGTGCCTGAACTAGATCGGACACATGAGTTCCGCAAGGAAAATTGCAGCTTGCGTAGGTTGGTGATGCATCTTTGTTTTGGTCGAACAAACAAACATGTGCAAAGCTTGAACGTCACCTTTCACTCTCATAACTTGTTTTCCATTGCATGTTCATTCAGTGCTTGCTTGTTTGATTTCATTGGCACTTCTCACACCGGTGCCAGAGTTTTTCATGTGATGCGTTGCGAATTTCGTTGGAGTTATGCTCGACGAAAGAGAGAACGCGTGAGCATGAAATGCACAAGCAGAGCATTGTTTTCATTTTTGCGTTGACAAGAATTCAAACTGTGGTTTGAAGAATCTTGTGCAATGCATTGCAACATGCAAGTCCGAAAGAATCGTTTTTCAATAAGTTGTGATTTCATTTTGCTTTAGGTTTTCTCGGTCCAGCCATGAGCTTGATTGAGTCGACGGCAGCCTTCAGACAAAGATGTGACGAGATCACACCAGATGGAACTCTCAAAGGAGCTCTTGATGGTCAGGCCATCCGGACTCACAGTGCAATGGCGTTTACAATGGGGACACCTCAGATGGCCCCGACTGAGGACCAATTCACTGCTCTGGCCACTAGGGTATTTGCTGGGCCTCCCAACGTAGGCCAGTGTCGGCCATCAGGAGGATACACTTCGAAAGCACTACACTGGTGATTTCAACAATACGTGAGAAAGTTACCAGTGAAGGAGCTGAGAAGGGTGACATGGCAAAGAAGATACCTTTGGCCGAGAAAAAACAACGACGAGAAGACCAACTGGCAAGGCTCAATGGGATCTCCATAACAGGAGAGCTGGATCCCAGTCATGCCTTGCTTGATTTAGCAAACCAGATGCTCGAAAGTGGAGCAATCATGTGGCTTGCGCCGTCGAAGTGCAGCAAAAGGGATGACGAGGTGCAGATGGCCTTGAAGGACTCAAAGTCTTCAGTGCAGATTGAAAATTCGCAGCTTCGTGTTGGGCCTAGCGTAGAATCAGTTCAAGCCGAGTGGAACTCAGAACTCAAGTACCAGTGGTGCATGATGAGGAGGGGACTGGCTTTCGACCAGTGCCGTGTTCTGAGCTGGAGCGTGCACCAACACTGGCTGAATTACATGTTGAATTTGCTGACGCGACCTGTCAGCCAGGGCTTCCAACAGATCAAGCTCGATCAATTGGTTCGAGCTGACAGAGAGCTATGGACGCTTCTTGCACAAGAGGTTACAGGCAGTTTGAAGATGGATGGGAACGAAGTGCCGCTGGACAAACATGTTACGCGGCTTTCCACAGATCCCAGGGTGACAATGTTTTTGCTCCCAATGCCATCAAATCAACGAGTGGCTGAGGCTCCTGACAAGCCCAAACCTGCACCCAAAGCGCTTCCCACCAGACCAGCAGCAAAAGGATCTGGAAAGCGCAAGACGAGAGCAGAGAGAAGCTGCCCAGAGGAGCTCAACAAAGGTGGCTGCAGGCCAGATCTGTTGGAGCTACAACTTGAAAGATGGATGTCAGCTTGCTACAAATGGAAAGCCTGCAAAGTGCTCACGTGGATTGCACTTGTTGCGCAAAGAAGGGTTGACAAACCAGCCCCACTGAACCTCCTCTCAAAGTTCGTAAAGAGGGGGAAGGACGTTCAGGTGGGAGACAACATTCGATGCAGAGCGATGGCGCTTCATGCCTCCATGCTCGTGATGTTCACCAAGTCGCCAGGGGAAATGCAAAACAGCAGCACTCAGGCAAAATTCAGATGCAATAGAGATTTCACTGGCATGTCTTTGGGAGATTTGTATATTTTGGAGCTTTGTGCTGGTTCCGCAAGATTGTCAAAGGTTGCGCATGAGTTTGGTTTCCGAACGATGGCAGTGGACCACACAACAACAAGAACGTGTGGTTTTCCAATCTGTGTCTTTGACTTGACAGATGCTGATAATTTAGCAGCGTTGGTACAATTCATAGAAGAGTCAGCAGACAGCATTCTGGGAATTTGGATAGCACCTTCCTGTGGAACATGCAGCAGAGCCAGAGAAAAGAGGTTGGTTGAACTGGAGGAAAAAGGTGTTAAGACACCAATCCCGTTGCGATCCACTCAGCAGCCGGACCAACTTGATGGACTTGCCGGCTTGGACAAGGTCAAAGTTGAAAAAGCAAACATGTTGTATGAGTCAATATATGTGATTGCAGCTCTTGCGTGTACGTTGTGTATTTTCCTGGCCATCGAAAACCCCACCAACTCGCACTACTGGAATACCAGCCCAATGCAGAGGCTTTGCAATGAATTTGAACATCACTATGTTACGTTCCATAACTGTGCACATGGTGGGGACAGGGACAAGTCAACGTCCTTGTGGGTAAACGATGACTGGTTGGACTCCTTGGCATTGCTTTGTGACAAGCAGCACAAACACAAACCATGGACGACAACCCTGAAAAATGGTTCTGTACGTTTTGCAACTGCAGAAGAAGCGGCATACCCTATCTTACTATGCGAGCGTGTTGTGCACTGCCTCAAGGAGAAAGCAATTACTTTTGGAGCCGCTTCACCAGAGACACTCGGTGAGCAAGCACAAGGACCTGATCCCTCCCCTTTGGCGAGGATTGTTCTTGGCGCCCTACCTAGGGGACACCGCATCAAACCACTCGTGGCTGAGTTTGGCGATTATGTCACAGTTTTTACAGACCCACAAAGGTCAAATGACCTGGAAGGTTACCTCAAGACCCTTCCAAAAGGCGCCAAAGTGGTCTCCCGCCACTTTGTTACATGGGGTGATTTACAGGCGGCTCGACAAGAGAACAACGCCATATTTTTGGAGGTTACAGAAGGGGCAACTGTTGAAAAAATTCACATTGGAGTTCCGAGTGGGCCTGACGATTTCGTCAAAAGGGCCATTGCAGCTGGCCACCCGCGCAGTTTGGAACAATACATCGACCCACAGGTCAAACAGATAATCCAGGCGAACTTCATTGATGAACCGGCCGCAGTGGCCATGAAACGAGTAGCCTTTTTCAAAAAATATGTCAAACGAGCAGCCGAGCTGACTGAAGAGGAAGAAGCCTTGAGGGCAAAGATGCCCCCACATGTCCTTCAGCTGGTTGGAAACAAGCGCTTGGCACTATGGCGTGAAATTTTGCTGGACTATGGATATCCAGACACATCAATAGTAGATGACATAGCTGCTGGATTCAAATTGAGTGGTTGGATGCCCCGGTCTAATGTTTTCAAGACCAGGACTAAGAGGCCCTCCATGAGCCTAACCACTCTTCAGGCCCTAGCCAAAGCTTTAAACTCCTCGACGTACCGAAACATGGAGGTGAGGCAAGATACGGAGCTGGAGGCCGCCACTTGGGAAGAAACAGTCGAGGAAGTGAACAAAGGTTGGGTCTGGTTTGACGAAGGAGAGGGCACAACCGCTTGCAAGTTCATTGGCAGACGCTTCGGGATCAAACAGTCTAGCAAGGTAAGAGTCATTGATGACTGCTCATGTTGCGGTCTGAACTGGACGGTTGGTTTGCACGAGAAGTTTCAAGTGCAGTCGATCGACATCCTTGCTTCGATAGTTGCTGAGGCCTTCAAGTCCTCTCCCGGCGGATGCCTTCCTTCCATCCTTGGAAGGCGGTATGATTTGAAAAGCGCCTACAAGCAGTTTGCTGTCCATCCAGGTGACCGGTCGCATTTGCGCATGGCTGTAAGGTCTCCGGTGGATGGCATGGTGAAGCTTATCGGCTTCAACGCACTCCCTTTTGGAGCAGTTGCCGTGAGGCTCCTCAGATGTCCTTTGGGCGTCTGTTCTGCAAACCACGACCCCAGCTGTTATTTGTATTTGGGGCCCTCTATCACATGATTTCATCTGCTTGCGCAGCAGGGCCATAATTGGATGCACGCTTGCTCATGTATGCATCGGTATAGCTGCCTTCCAACACTACAAGCTGTAACAGCAAAGCCAAAGTTGGTTCAAAGTACTCATGCGCATTGCTGCTGACCAGCACTGGGCTAGGTTAAAAGTTACCAGCACACCTCTACTGCCATGTATGTGGCACATGGCTGCTTGCGAAGGTGTTTACATGTAAGCTCCTTGTGGTGGAAAAAAGGCGCGTCCTAGAACATCCTTGTTTGCTAGGCTGAGGCCCTTTTTGGGGGCACCTTCTCCTTCCCTATGTATAGCCCGACTTTGCGATCCTTTGAGCCATGAGGTTCGGGTCCGTGCGTGCCCAGACAGACAGCGCGATAGAGAAGAAAAAAAAGAGCCCCGTTTGTATACAAACGCGTGGCTTCTTGTATGCCCAATTCTATTTATGTCCTTTTATTTAATTTAGGCAGTGAACATAGTTTTAGGTGTTAGCAATGCATATTCTTGGGAACGTGTGATCAGTTATAAATATTTTTTTTGGTACAGGGTTGGGAACCTCTCGTGTGAATTTAGGGACTTTGCATCTTAGCTTTCTATGCCTGCGAGTTGCGTGTTTTTTGTGTGATGGTACCTATCTTTTGCTCGCGAGAGCGCTGGAAACAATTTCTGGACCAATGCGCTTGGGAGAACACCAATGTGCAAGTATTAACTTTTTTTTCCTACAGATGTGGCTTATATACGTGCGCAAGGAAAACACGAACCCATGATTTTCAATCACCAGCCTTCAACGATCGTTCTGCCCAGCGCGGCTTTTGGGCTGTGAAACAATGCCTTGTCTCTTTTGGTGGCAAGGTGAGACCGGCACAGTGAAACTATTTTCGACGCGTTCTGCTGATTTCGGAAACATGTTTGTAGCATTTGGTAACCCATAACAAGAGGTAAGAGTGAACTACCCCGATTCTACTATAATGTGAAAAAAATAATGATAAATTGCCACCAATATCACTATAAATGAATGGGAAATATCGATGCCAAATGGTAGAGTTTGTTGATTTTTTGATTTGGCAATCTTCTCAAGGGTTGCTTTTTTTTACACAACAGAATTGGCTGGAATATTTTTCCACGTGCTTTCAGATTCTTTAGGCGGTGGAACCCAGTGTTCTGAAACACCTCTCGGCATTAAACTCCTGCATCAGGGATGCACTTGGGGTTGATTATGGGTATGTATATACTAAAATGCAGGAAAGCTGACAGCGTTCGGGGTTTTCCGTGAACTCTCTCCAACTATTTTTGGGGGTTGACCATTAAAAAAAGAAGGATCGATCCGGCTTCACCGTTTACTCATTCATTTCTGTTTGCCAGCGCAATTTTTGCACTAGCGTTGGGTTGCCGCGGCATCGAATAAGTGCTGTGCCATGGCTCTGGCCGGCCCGCCCTTGATGGAAGACAACATCCAGCCATGGAAGTCTGTGAGTGTCTAGATAGCGCTTGGTGGAAAGTAAGTTTCATGTTTTTTCTCCTTGTTGCTGTTTCTTCACCAGGCCAGCCCTGGACAAACCTTTTCATATTTTCTGGCAGGGAGCGGGGGGCAGGGCAGGCTATATGGGGATGCCGGGTCTCGTCGCTGAGGACCTGGCAAGATCAATTGGACAGAAGAGCAGGTGGTTGCTTGACTGGAAGGGGATGGCGTCTTGCTGATTTCTAAGTAATATGTTTACGCATGCTTAAAGATGCATTACTTGGGTGAGGGTTCAAGTGACAAGTGACAAACATGCTGCGCTAAGGGGTTGGTTGCGAAGTGTTTGCATCGCGGTGCTGAGGTTCGTTTGGCAGAGCAATGGCATGCGCTACTTCCAGCAGCACCAATGGAGTTGATTATGAACAATCGCTTGCCGCCTGGGTGCCGACTTGTGAACTTGCACTCGGAAATTAGCACCCCTGGATCTGAGGAACACGGTCATGAACATGTTTTTATCAACAATGTGTTTGGTTGACTTGTTTTCTTCGCTGGTGTTCCAACGGCAAATTTGCAGGAAATCAGCCACAATTACAACTGGCTTCAGCCTGTTTGCGCAGAAAACCCAGAAAAAGTTTCTTGGTATTTCATTTTGAAAAGAAAGATGTTGAAACGACAGGGTTCAGAACATGTTCTGTGGAGAGCGGGTAGTTGCTGTAGTGTTTGTTGTATAGAGCGGTTATTCCCATTGGGCTCATTCAGGGTTTCCGCCCAGTTCCACTTAGGTCCCCAGTGGGTTTTATTTGGCTGACGCGTTTTTGGCGTTGGACGCGAAGATGCGCAAGCATCTTTTGATACCACTTGATGGCCAGTCCAAAGCAGAGAAAGCCATGGAAGAGGGGAAACGTGTGAAGAAACTGGTTGGATCCCTCCGTCATCTTTTCAGAAACAGTACCTTGGGTTTGTTTGGACAAGTGGTTCAAAAGTGAAAAGGGTTTGCAGTCGCTCTTAAATCTTTATTCATCATCTTCTTTAAATGTTTGGATTTGAGGTCCCCTGAGCAGCCCTGATGAGAACGTAGATGCCCTGAAGAAGTTGCTCAGAAGATCCCCAGATCGACGTCGTCATAGGGACTGATTCATCATGGGTTTGGATTTGACAAGGTGTTGAAAACGATGCTGTAGTGTTGAGTTTTAGTTGTTCCAAAATTGAATTTGAAATCTGTTTCAAACCTGTTTGACCGCGCCTGCCTGCAGGACTATCACTTTGTCGCTGAGTTTGAGAACCCTGACCCTTCTGAAGGTGAGGAAGCTCATGAGGATGAGGTCGGTGGGGATTTGGCCCTTGGTGATGAGGAGGGGGATTCTAGGGAAGACCCTTCGTCCAGCAGCACGGCTGAGAGTGAGGATGGTGGGGACAGTGGGGGATCCGAGGCTGGTTGTGAGTCTGATTCTTCAGAGTCAGATTCTGGAGAGTCAGACTCTGGAGAGTCTGGGGATGGGGATGTGGTGTCTGTGCCATTGGCGAGCCCCCCTCTTGCTACCTTTGAAGAATTTCCCACGCCGAAGGAAGAGAATCCCGTTGACCCGAAGTTGAAAAAATTCTGGGCAAAGTTTGTTGTGCCGAAGTTCAGTGGAGGGAAGAAATCAGAAACCTGTGCCCAAAGTGATTCCGCACATGAGTCATCTGATGAGTCTGGGGATGAGGTCTGTCCTAACAAGGAATGGGTAAATGACATGGATGATCCCATGGATTACGATGCCATCACAGATTTGCCAAAAACACTGAGCCCTGGTTGGTCACCTGAGTCACCTGTTTCCTCCAATCCCCATGCAGCATCTTCCGCCGGCCCTGCTCCGGTGAGTGAGTTTGATGATGGTGAATGTGAAGTTGGGTTGGAGGACCCGCCCAGCAGCAGCGATTCTGAAAGTGATCCCAGTGACTTGAGCTCGTGTGGAGATCCGGTGGTTGATGAAAACATGTTTACGGCCGAGATGGAGAAGGGAAACCGTGAGATGCATGATGAGGCGAGGTAGGCACAAGGTGATTCCCCAAACAATGTGTCCACACTGAGGGGTTCTTACGGTGGCTGTAAAGGCCAGTGCTTGATTAAGGTGCTGACTCTGGGCGCGAGCCTTTTTCCTGTAAATTTCCGTACAAAGTGGCTCTTGTGAAAATTTGAGCTGCAGTTCGACTGCGCAGGCTCGCACAAAGTGTGGTTCTAGGTTCGTGACCGCCGCATTTTGCCTGTAATTTTGCGTAGAAAGTGCCTCTTGTGAATTGTTGAACTGCCTTTCAGCTAGGCAGGCTCGCACAAAGTATGGTCCTAGCTTCTGGGCCCGTGCACTTTTCCTACACCTCATCATCCTCAACATCATCATCCTCCACCTCATCTTCCGCAACATCATCCTCCTCCACCTCATCTTCCGGAAAAAGAACCACCCGGGGCACCAGCAGCATGAACGGCAGCAGCAGCAGCAGCACCAGCACCAGCACCAGCATCCAGAAGCACCAGCAGCAGGCAGCACCAGAGGCCGCAGAAGCAAGCGCAGCGGCGGCAGCGGCAGCAGCGGCAGCAGCGGCGGCAGTGGCGGCAGCGGCAGCGGCGGCGGCGGCAGCAGCGGCAGCGGCAGCAACGGCAGCAGCGGCAGCAGCGGCAGCAGCGGCAGCGGCATCATCATCATCATCATCATAATCATCACCATCATCATCATCACCATCATCATCACCATCATCATCATCAGCATCATCATCTTCATCACCATCATCATCATCACCATCATCATCACCATCATCATCGTCAACAACCATATAATACATTATCCTCCCACTCCCCCCACAACACTGCTTGGGGTCTTTTGAAGGGATAATCAATTATTCTTTGAGTTTTGCGATGTCAGTCGTGTCCTCTCCACACTCATTTCCTGTTTGCCTGTTTTTTTTTCATTTAATTTTTTTTCCCTCGGTCATTGTTTTTGGAGGCTTGCCGTGCGTTCACTTCTGGGCGTGATTCCGTGGCCTTGGCAACCCCTAGTGTTAGCCGACCAGAGTTCTGGGGATTCCCTATGGTGGAGACTCCTCCCAAGACTGATGTTTCTTGGATTTAAAACAGTCAAAACAAGTGGCATTCAATCTGACTCAGTTTCTTTTCGTTGCGTTCAAACTTTACCACTATGTTCGCAGCAGGGTCTTGGTTGTTTATGGATATGCATCTTTATTTCCCAGCTCCGTTTGTCCAGGACCCGGCAAAGAAAGTTCGAAAGCTGAAGAAGAGGAACCAGAAATCCAAGGCAAAGAAGGGTTCGGGGAAGAAGGCAAAGAAAGCGAGCTTTCGCAAGGGTGGTTCTAAGAAGGGTGTGTTGAAGTCCCGCAAGGGAAAGAAACCTACTTCTGGGAATGG